AACAACTCATTGTTTGGCAGACTTCCCATTTCAATGGGTAAAATGACTACAGTGAGGTAAGTTACTATGTCTAAAAACCAGCTTGAATGTCCAATACCAGTGGAATTCTGCAACCTTGACAACCTGGTTCTCTTTTATCGGAGAATAATTTATCTGGCTCAATCCCATCTTGCTTCAATACCCGCAGCTTAAGTCATGTCTTTCTAAATAGTAATCTTCTGGAAGGCCAGCTTTCGTATGCATTTTACAATAGTAATTCTCTTGAGACATTGGATCTTAGAGAGAACAGATTCTCCGGAAATATCCCACAATGGATTGGCAATCTATCTAGCTTGAGAGTTATTCTTCTTAGAGGTAATCATTTTGAAGGCACAATCCCGGAACAACTATGCCAGATGAAGAGATTGAGCATGATAGACCTATCTTATAATGATCTTTCTGGTCAGATTCCGCACTGCTTGGGTAACATAACTCTGGAGGTAACTAAAGATAAATCTTCTATTTAAGGAGTTTCCAATTCTATAGGTTGAGGTCAGTTGGAAATGGCTCATGTATCCCTCTACAAAAGAGTGTATTTTCTATTTGACTAATGTACTTATTGAAACTGTATTTGCAACGAAGTGAAATTCTTATTCTTACAAGGGCAGTATCCTCGACCACATGAGGCATTGACCTCTCTTCTAATAAATTACACGGTGAAATTCCAGAGGAGCTTGGAATGTCAAGGGAGACACGTGCACTGAATGTAAACCACAACGATCTTACTGGTACAGTGCCGGCTACTTTTTCATATCTACATCAGATTGAGAGTTGGATCTTTCCTACAACAGCTTGAATGGGAGAATCCCCATTGGACTAAGTTGAACTCTTTGCAGTATTCATAGTGGCATATAACAATTTAACGGGTATGACACCAGAGAAAGGTCAATTTGGAACGTTTGATGAAGGTAGTTATTAGGGAAATCTTTTTCTTTGTGGTCATCCATTGCCTGTTGACTGTGAATCAATGTTAGGACCACCTATCGTCTCCAATGAGGAGTCAGGTTTCATGGATATGGATATCTTCTACATCAGCTTTGTCGTTTCTTGTGTATCTGTGGTGCTTTGCATTGCTGCTGTTCTCTGCATAAATCCTCATTTGAGAAGAGTAAGGTTTCATCTCATCGAGGTTTATATATTCTGTTATAAAAAAATAGAATTGAGTATTATAGATCAAATAAATCTCAAACCCTATCACATATGAACTAACACTAATAACCACTGAACATCAAGATCTCATATACAATAGGCTCAGAACAATAAAACATATTCCTTCAGCACAGTGAGGCCCAGATTACACACAGTAACCCTCACGATC